GCACGGGAACTCCAGCTAGCTACAAATATCAAGGACAATAAAAAGCCCTTTTTTAGATATGGGGAGAGATGGAGGAAAAGTAAGGGCAACATTGGACCCCTGCTGAACCAGATGGGACAACTGACAACCGGTGCCCCCAAAAAAGCAAACTTGCTAAGTGAGTACTTTGCGTCCGTTTTTCACCAGTCCCATGGGACACCCCTGCCCACTGCGGGACAGGGAGGCCTGGGTGAGGGGAATTCCTTACCCTCTATCTAAGCTGACCTCGTGAAGGAACACCATTGACAGGCTGGATACCTTCAAGTCAGCCAGCCATGATGGTTTACACAAAAGCGTACTCGAGGAACTGGTGAGCATCATAGCTCAACCCCTGGCACGGATCTTTGAGAACTCCTGGCATTCTGGTGAAGCGCCTAAAGATTGGGAGAAGGCCAATGTGGTGCCTATCTTCAAGAAGGGGAGGAAAGTGGATATGGCAAACTATAGGTCCATCAGCCTGACTTTTATCCCGGGGAAGATCTTAGAAAAATTTATTAAAGAGGCCATCCTTAATGGACTGGCCGACGCCAACATCCAGCACAGGTTTGTTGCGGGTAGGTCTTGCTTAACCAATCTCATTTCCTTCTACGACCAGGTGACCTATCACCTGGACAAGGGAGAAGAGATTGATGTCCTATATCTTGACTTCAGAAAAGCCTTCCATCTGGTATCCCACGATCACCTCTTGGCGAAACTGGACAATTGTGGCCTTGGGTCCATCACGATCCACTGGCTTGAAAATTGGCTCCATGGTCGGACCTAGAGGGTAGTAATTGATGACAGCCACTCATCATGGTGTCCGAGACCAGTGGGGTCCCCCAAGGCTCAATCCTTGGACTCATATTGTTCAACATCTTCATTACTGATGTGGACACTGGAGTCAGGAGCAGACTGGCCAAGTTCGCCGATGACACCAAACTTTGGGGCAAAGCATCCATGCCAGAAGACAGGCAGGTGATTCAGGCTGACCTGGACAGGCTCAGCAAATGGGCAGATGAGAACCTAATGGTATCTAACACCAAAAAATGCAAGGTTCTCCACCTTGGAAAGAAAAACCTGTAGCATCCTTATAGGCTCAGCAGTGCTATGCTGGCTAGCACTACGGAAGAAAGAGACTTGGGGGTCATCATTGACCACAAGATGAACATGAGCCTGCAATGCGATTCTGCGGCTAGTAAAGCGACCAAAACGCTGGCTTGCATCCATAGATGCTTCTCAAGCAAATCCCAGGACGTCATTCTCCCCTTGTACT